GGGACACTAGAGAAATCTATATTTTGGAGGTTTCCTGAGAAAGCTAACATGGAAAAAGAATATATAGAAGTTATGGCATTCTCATACATGCTCTAAGGAGAAACACCTTTTGCAACGGAACTTCTTTCCTTTGGAAAGAAGAATAAGGCAACGAATCTGTTTCGGAATGTATAATGGAGATTGATAGAGGAAAGAGAATGACTCTTCATTTGCCCCTTGCAAATAGAGTAATTCAAGGTCATGCCGCTACTTCTTGACAGATTTTGCTCAATGTGCTCCCTACTTTTGGAAGCCAGTTGATTTCAGTAAACCTTTATAATTCATACTAATGTTGTGGTTTATGTTGAAAACTAAAAGTTCCTCTTGCACATAGGTGCTAGTCATTTCTGGATCTAGGAGGCAGTGCTCATCACCATTTCAGAGCTGAAGAGCCAGCACTGTCAGAAGACGTCTCCATGGCCATGAGGCTGGCATGAATAAATGCTGAAGGTGCAAAGCATGCTGGCACCTTCCCACCAAAGTGGTCCTTATTTTTCCACTTGCATTTTTGCGTTCTTTCGAACCGCTTGGTTGGCAGAAGCTGGGACATGTAATGGGAGCTCACTCCATTATGTGGTGCTAGGGATTCAAACTGCCCAACAGCCAACCTTTCTGATTGAAAAGCTCAGCATCTTATCCACTGAGCCACCATGTCTCTTTATATATTGCCTCTAATGTATACATTGCCCTGATAAATCTTTTGGTTTATGTTTAGACGGTGCCTTATTCAAGATGTACAGAAAGTTGCTCCACAGGTTATGCCAAGCTTGTGAGAGAGGGAGCCCCAGTTTGCTGCTACGACTGTTTTCTGTGTATGGAAGGAACATTCTCTGGGCAAGAAGGTACAGTCGGGGGCTTCAAAAACAACCAGGATACAATCAAATTTCTCTATTTCTTTTTTGGGGTATTTGATCAAGAAGCAAGAAAAAACATTACACATCTTGAAGGCATCCACAAACATTTCAATGATTGAGCACTATCACTATCGAATTTTGTACGATGATGCAAGCATTAAAATAATCTATTGAGGTGTTACTTTCTTGCTTGGTTTTGGGAAAGAGGACAAATCTTGAGAGCTGATAATCACATTCATCTTCAGCCTTTAAAAGGGTTGTTGGTTATTTTAACTAATGTTTTGTTATATGAATATCCCTGGGCAGAAATATTATTCCTTGAAAGTGAAATAATTGATTTCTGATGTGGTTTTCATGCTCCTACATTAGCAGAAAGAGATACATGCTAACCATTTTTTTTTCAGATGCAGCCCATTGTGAAAAGTGTCCAGTTGACCAGTATTCCAATAAGAAGCGGGATCAGTGTGTCCCCAAAAGCATAAGTTTCTTATCCTATGAAGAATCATTGGGACTCATCCTGACTTTCCTTGCCATTGCTTTGTCCCTAACCACTGCCTTTATTCTGGGAATCTTCATTAAACACCAAGAAACTCCCATAGTCAAAGCCAACAACCGTGAACTCACCTATGTTCTCCTGGTTTCTCTCCTGTTTTCTTTCTTGACCTCCCTTCTATTCATCGGTCGCCCCATGAAAATGACCTGTCTCCTTCGACAAACCATTTTCAGCATTGTTTTCTCTGTTGCCGTATCTTCTTTGCTGGCCAAGACTGTAATGGTGGTGGTGGCCTTCCTGGCTACAAAGCCAGGAAGCAGGATGAGGAAATGGCTGGGGAAGGGTCTGGCCTACTCAATTGTTTTATCCTGCTCTGGTATTCAAGTAGGCATCTGTATGACATGGCTGGGAATCTTTCCCTCATTCCCAGATTCTGACTTTCATTCCCAGACAGAATATATCCTGCTGCAGTGCAACGAAGGTTCAGTGACCATGTTCTACACGGCCCTTGGCTACATGGGTTTTCTGGCTGCCATCTGTTTCTTGGTGGCATTTCTGGCTCGAAATCTGCCAGGGACCTTCAATGAAGCCAAACTGATCACCTTCAGCATGTTGGTTTTTTGTAGTGTATGGATCTCCTTTGTCCCCAGCTACCTGAGCACCAAAGGGAAATACATGGTGGCTGTGCAGATCTTCTCCATCTTGGCCTCCAGCCTAGGTTTATTGGGTTGTATTTTTGTTCCCAAGTGCTACATTATTACACTGAGACCTGACATAAACACCAAGGAACATCTGATGATGAAATCTCATTAAGGCTCCTTGTGTTGGTCTTTATTTTTGTTCAGTTTACATCCAGTATAAAATCACATATCTTGAAGTAATGTTTTATGTATTCTCACATATTTTTCTTCATTCTGTGTGCATTTGGAATTATAATAATTGAGTAGTAATGTTCCTAAAACAATTCAAAATATTTCTGTTAATCATATCTTTCAATTGTCACAATCTGAATTCATGTTAAATCATAACTATCATCAATGACATTAATACAATTTTTGAAACCAGGCCGGATAAACCGTTACCAGAGATGTTCTGATATGGTTTTAGACTAAATTAAAGATTATGACTAATAATGTGTGTTTTTGTTGCCATATATTTTGGTGTTATGTTTTGTTTACAGAGAAAACAAAAGTGAAGCAATTATAAGATAACAGGTATAACTATAAACATAGTTATGAATACATGAAATGGGTACATATAAGAAAAATAAAAGAAACAATAGGACAGGGACGGTAAGCACGTTGGTGCGCTTATGCACGCCCCCTAGAGACCTCTTAGGAAAGGGGTGAGGTCAATAGTAGATAGTCTAAGGTTAAAGTTTTTGGGGTTTGGGGAAAAAACCACAGAGTCAGGTAGAGTATTCCAGACATTGACCACTCGGTTGCTGAAGTCGTATTTTCCGCAATCAAGTTTGGTGTGATTTATCTTGAGTTTTGTCTATTGTTTGCTCTTGTATGGTTATTGTTGCGTTCTGAAAAGACTGAGCTGAAGTCTTGACTCCAGTCCATGCTTCCCGCGGGAACACATACTGTTACTATTGGCTGATGCGTTTCACAGCTGACTATAAAAGGGAGTTGTCAAGTGGCATCAGCTGTTGCCTGTGAGCTGGCTGCCTTGTTAGTGCGGCAGTCGCGGCAACCCTTTATTGTTTAAATAAAGTTAAAGCTGAAGTTTGCTCCGCGTTCGCCTCAGTTATTCTGCCGCTCAACTACACTGGCAATGAGGGTGGGATACATATAAGAGCAAAGAATCGCTGAGCAAAGTCACTACAAAAATAGCCAAAGCCACTACCGAGCTGTATGTCACTTTAAGAGCTTAGTGTCACGATTCGTGAGTTCAAATTTAAATTTTCCTCAGAAGAACCGCCACCGCTGAGATGAGATAACTTCAAACCCTGCATTCTCGCCTTTCAGACTGACAGCAGAGACATGGGAGTCCTACAGAAACTGATTTGACTGTTTTCTAGATGCCTTATACCTCACTGACATTTCCAACCATAGAAAAACATCTTACATTTAAAGTTTTTGCAGAGCCACAGTGTTTGACACTGCTACAACTTTGCTGGCCCTGTGTTCAATTAAGACTGTTCCATGGGAAGAATTGCACAAATTTTTTTCTAACCATTATTCCCCTAAACCCTCCCGAATTGCCAGGTGTCATGCTTTTAGTAGATGGACCCAGGCTGAGGGAGGGACTATTAGTGGGTATATGGCAGCTTTATGAACAGCTGCCTTGCATTGTGGGTTTACCAGACTATCTGGATGACATGTTATTAGATCAAATAGTTTGTGGAGTCCAGGACTTAAGGCTACAAAGATGTCTATTGGCTAAAGGGGATTTGACCCTAAAATAAGCAACAGAGGAATCTCAAGCTGCAGAGGTGTCAGCATTTTCAACAGCAGAAATTCAGGGAAATCCAGTCAGTCAGAACAGCTCAGCCATTCATTACGATGAAGCCGCCACAGAGGAAGGCTCTGAAGAAACTAGTTATGTAAATCACCTCAGGCCGTCCAAAACTAGTCAGAGGGAAAACGGGTCGGTTCCCAGTCAACCTCCACGTTCTCAACCCATCTGTCTAAGCTGTGGAGGAAATCACCTTTGGGCATCCTTCATGTTTGGGCATGTTCAGGAATGCCATTTGTCTAAAATGCAAGAGAAAGGCTTATTTAGCCAGGATCTGTCAGGCAGGAAAGACTTTTGCCCAACCACAGAAACCACAAACAACTCAGCATTTTCAAAAACAAATTGAAAACTGTTTCACCTGCTACCATGCCAAGCGGACAATCCATGGCTCTAAAAAAATCAGTGTTATTATTTCTTTAGAAGGGAAACATTTCAGGATGCAGGTAGATACCAGCTCAGCACTGTCCATCATCCTGTGGAGCACATTGAAATGACTGCTCCCCAGGATGGCAAAGAAGAGTCTTCAAGGCTGCAACTTAATCCTACATGACTATCAAGGCAAAACCTTCCAGTCATCTGAAAAAGGCAAGTGTTTTATTCAATTTCAAAATTTTTACAGTCACTTGCCTTTAGTGGAAGTGGATGGTGCCCTCCCAAGCCTGTTGAGGTTAGACTGATTCCCTGCCCTTGGCCTTCATATAGGCAGAATCCACTCTATTGCAAATTCAGAGGTGGACGCCTTGTTCAGTGCCTATGCTGATGTGTTCAGCGAAGGCCTAGGCTGTTATTTGGGAACCCCAATTTATTTCAACTTGGACCTTCTAGCAGTTCCAATTCGTTTAAATCGTCGAAGAGTACCTTTTGCAATACGTCCTAAGCTGGACAAGGAACTAGACAAATTAATTAAACAGGGCATATTAGAGCCTGTGGCCTTCACAAAAAGGGAAACCCCAATAGTGACACCCTTGAAGAAAGATGGCAGTTTTAGAATTTGTGCTGATTACAAGTGCTTCTAAACAAATATTTACAAATCAGCGCTTATCCAGTCCCAATTATTCAGCACCTGCTGCATTCGTGAAACTAGACATATCACAAGCCTATCAACAGTTCCCTGTTGATGACACAGCCGCAGAGCTACAAACTATTGTAATGCACAGGGGCGCTTTTTAGTGTAGACACCTCCAATTCGATGTTAGTGTAGCCCCAGGAATTTTCCAATCATTAATGGAAAGACTGCTTCAAAGGTTATCTAGCGTAATACCATATTTCGATGACATTTTAATATCTGCCCCTGAAAAGCCACAGTTACTGCAAAGAGTCAGAGATGTCCTCAAGGGTTTCAGAAAGTCGGGTCTCAAATTGAAAAAAGGGAAATGCATTATTGCCAAGCCGCAGGTCGAAGTTTTGGGGTATAGAATTAAAGCCTCTGGCATTCACCCAATTGAATCCAGGGCAAGGGCTATTCACAAGGCACCCACACCAACTAACAAAACTGAACTTCAGGATTTTGGGGGGCTCCTTAACTTCTATGCTTCATTTTTGCCACATAAGGCTTCCATTGCAGAACCTCTGCATAGACTCCTGGGCAAACAATCCCTGCAGCATTGGTGACCTAAGGAAGCCTATGCTTTCAAAGCAGTCAAATCATTACTTACATCTGATGGTGTTCTAATCAATTCAACAAAAATTTGCCTTTAGTCTCTAGTTGCAGACGCATCACCTTTTGGCATAGGAGCCATTTTAAGTCACAGACTTCCTAATGGTTCTGAGGCACCCATTGCCTTTTTCTCTAGAACATTATCTCCAGCTAAGCTCAACTACAGTCAAATTGACACAGAGGCTTAGGATGCAGTTGCTTCAGTCAAGAAGTTCCATTTCAACACCATTTCGAGTTAGTTACAGATCATAAGCCAAGAATGACCAGGTGGACATTATTTCTGGCTGCATATTCCTATACACTGGTTCATCGAGCAGGCAAAAGCCTCAGCCATGTTGATGCCCTTAGTCACTGCCCCCTGCCTGTTCCAGTTGAGGATCCTGCACCAACCAATGCTGTGTTCCTAATCAATGACCTCAAGCTTCCCATCACCACCTCTGATATTGCTGCCCACTCTGCCAAGGACAAGGTAATTTCCCAAGACCTTGACTGGGTGGGAAGGGGGTGGCCTACAGCCCCTTATTCTTCCAAATTCATGCCTTTCAAAATTTGCCAGCAATAATTGTCTTCTTTGCAAGGCTGCTTTATTTGGGGACCAAGGTAGTGCAGACCTTCCCAGACCTCAGTTTTAGAAGTCCTGCATAAGGGTCACCCTGGCATTGTCAAGATGAAGGCTATAGCTCGCAGTTATGTATGGCGGCCAGACATGGATGCTCAGATTACTAGCTGGGTCAATGTTGTCAGACATGCCAGGCCACCAGACCTTCTCCACCAGCATCCTCTCCAGGAACGTGGGAAGATTCAGGGGGGCCCTGGTCCAGGGTGCATATTGATCTGGCTGGCCCTTTTCATGGGCAAAATTTCTTAGTGATGGTTGATTCTTTTTCTAAATGGGTAGAGCTGACTTTAATGACCTCTACAACTTCAGAAGCTGTCATTAAGGCCCTGATGAGAATATTCACCACCCATGGCCTCACTGACACCATTGTGTCTGATAACGGACCCTAGTTTACTTCCTGTGAACTTGAGGTTTTCCTAGCTAACCAAGGAATCAGACACACCCTAACAGCTCCTTTCACCCTGCCAGGAATGGTCTGGCTGAAAGGGCAGTCAGATCTGCTAAGGATGTCCTGGAAATTCTTGGGCCCATAGATTGGCACTCCAGACTTGCTAAGTACCTCCTAACCCAGCATACGACTCCCTGTGCCACCACAAATAGGTCTCCAGCTGAACTCCTCATGGGTCACCATCTGAGGACTACTCTAGATAGACTCCATCCAAATTATACCCCAGTCACACCCCTGGGATCAAATAGCCAGACTAGGAAGTTTGCTGAGAATGACCAGGTCTTCGCTAGGAACTATGCAGGTCATCCTTTGTGGATGGTTGGGTGGATTGTGGCAGTAACCGGTCCTAAGTCTTACACAGGGTCCAATTGCAAGATGGTCGCATTTGGCGCTGCCATGTTGACCAACTAAGGGGGTGTTTGGGTACGTCTACAGGTGGCCCGCCGGATGTTCTTGCTGCAGCGAGACCACCAGCACCCAAGGAAGCTCACCATGAAAATGACAGTGACAAGAGCCTACCTGAATAGTCATCGGTCCTGTACCCCGGGCCGCCTGAAGCCGAGGTGCCCACTTCTTCATCACCAGAAGCTGTTCACCAAGTGGAGGAGTCCCATCCAGCAGCAGCT